GGGGCAGAGGGAACTTCTAGAGATTAGAGAAACCTATCTGTCAATTACATACTGGATTTTATTTGGATCCTGATTCAAACAAATGTGAAACCATGTTGATAAGTTAATAAGGGAGGGACATCTGGGTGGCTCAGTCTGTCAAGCGTCTGACTTCTGGTTTCTGCTCAGGTTATCTCAGGGTCTGAGTTTCGAGCTCTTCATCAGGCTCTGCACTGACAGCAAGGAGCTTGCTTGGGATTCTCTCTCCCTCTCCCTCCTTCCCTGTTTGTGCTCTTTCTTTCTCAAAATAAATATGTAAACTTAAAAATATTTAAAAAGTTAATATGGGAGACGGGCATCTCAACTGAATATGTGAGGAATTGTCAATTTCTTAAGTTGATCGTGGTATTGCGATTATACTTTGAAATAGCCCTTATCTTTGATAAACACTGAAATAGATGTACACCAAAGTGTTTATAGATGACACAATGGCATGCCTGAAGATTAGCTTCAAAATAATTTGAGGGGCGGGCTGGGGGTGAAGGTGAGGAGTGTAGATGAAACAAGATTGGCTGTGTTTTGATAATTACTGAATCTGGGTGATAAGCACATGGAAGTTCATTCTTCGATTTCCTCTTCTACACAGGTTCGCAATTTTTCATAACAATTAAAAAACAAGTTTCCAGTATGGATGGTGGTGTAAACGTTACTCTATGGCAGTATTCAGCAGCCTCTATAAATGAGTTGACTCATGATTAGGAAAGGTAAACTGTGAGCACAAAAAGTCATGTACTGCGATTTCTTTCTTTTCCCCTCACTAGACCTGTCCCTCCCTCTCAACCCAGCAATGGATATCTCCCTATAAATCTATGCAGTGATGCCAGCTCTGGCTGGGCTGGGTCTAATCGTTTAATGTGCTCAAGGTGCAATTTCTGGGATTGCAAAAAGAAGATAGTTAGGCATGAGATACAGGGTCACTGGTACAAGCAGCACTTAAGCATTTGTTAAACTCGCTCTTCACTGGATTTGGAGAAAGTGAGAAATGTGAGTAGGGAAGAGGAGAGATGGGGTCCTGTAAGTTATTGGCCATCCTGGGGGGCAGCTGGTTCAAGGCTCTAACCGGCAGCCACCCCAAGAAGGCTTCCGGGATGCACCTTACAGGAAGCATCTGCCATATCTCTAGTCTGCTGTAGCACACTCCTGTTCCTTCTCACCCTGGAATGTTTGTTCATTTTCTTCACAAGATGATGTTTGCTACCACAAAACTGACTTTTTGGGTTAAACAATTTTGTCACTGGTGGTGGGGGTAAGGAAGGAGGTGGAAAGAGATGACCTTTTACATCCTGGAAGTATTTATGGAAACAATTCTCTCTTCTAAATCGATTTTGTTTTTAAAAGGCAGATAAATTTCATTTTATTTCATTTCTGGAAACTAACAAGCTAACAATCCATTATCATCTATGATACTTACTGACTAAACCCTCAGTGTGAGTTTTCTTCTCTACGTAAACTCATGTTCATTCTTTTACTAATATGCTTGAACAGTTTGGGATTAGTCTTTTCATTATCATCCCATTTTAAAGACATTCTTTGATACTCTTGCTAATTTATTTTTCCAAATGCATTTAGAGAAATTTTGTTGGGTTTGATGTGAAATTTTTGTGGGGTTCTATTGGATCTAAAAATAACATTGTGGGGGGACTGGGTTGCTCAGTCGGTTGAGCCTCCGACTTTAGCTCAGGTTGTGATTTCACAGTTTATGAATTCGAGCCCTACATTGGGCTCACTGCTGTCTGTGAGGAGCCCGCTTCAGATCCTCTGTCCCCTCACTGTCTCTGCCCCCTCCCCCACTCATGCTCCCTCTCTCTCCCTCTCTCAATAATAAACCTTAAAAAACATAACTTTGTGACAACTGGTGTTATAAAAATAATAGTTAAAAAATAATAGTTCTCCCATCAGGATTAAGGCATATGTCTCCATTTAAATTTTCTCTTGAATCTCCCATTGAAATGTAGTAATTGTAACAGTCATGTACGTCCCTTGTTAAGAGCATTCCCAAGTATTTTATAATTTCATTGCTAATGTGAATGTGATCTCCTATTTTCCAAGTATATCTATAGGATTGTTACTGATATTTTTATGTTTACTTTCTATCCATTAATTTTACTCAACTAATACTAGTTTGAAAACAACTTTGGCTTGTCTACATATACAGCCATATCGTTTAAAAATACTAGTGTTATATCTTCCTTTCCAAAAATCAAGGCTTACTCCCTGTTATTTGGATGCTCTGACCAATATAAGAAACACTAAGGTCAAATAATGGATGCTGATAGAGCTCATCCTTATATTGTTATTAGTGTCTTTACAAGAATGCTTCCAAGTTTTAGTGGAACCATTTTTAAAGTGTATTCTGGTCTTAAGTACATATCGTGATGTAACTGAAACTGTTCTTGACCAGCGGTATTAAGGAGTAGTTAGTTACCTTATGGTTTCCTCAGCTCTAAATTAAGGCAATAGCAGTGGTCAGTGGTTTTCACCATTCCTTAGAGTGACAATAGAGCAGACAAGGAAGGGCAAAATGGGTGGGGCTTTAGGCCAAAGCAGGTCCATTTTTACTTTAATCTTGAAGAAAAGTTTTTATGCTAAAAAAAAAAAAAAGTATAACCTTCAATGAGAAGTGAATCTATATGCTTTTAAAAGTTGCTCCCAACTGAATATTCTGTGATCAAGTCTTATTTATGTCACTTGCACAATAATCTCTTTACAGAGTTTCAAACAAAATAATAAGAGGGAAAGCAGGATAAAAAAATTGCATATACAAATATTCAAAGTATGTTTTAAAAAAAAGTGAAGAGACTGCATGTCTAACAGCAAACACACTATCTGTTTATGAAAAGACTGACAGGAAAAATACAAAAAAATACTAATTTCTAACTGGGTGGGGTGATACGGAAAAAAAGCTATTTCAGGGGCTCTGAGTGGCTCAGTCAGTTAAGCATTTGACTCTTGACTTTGGCTCAGGTCATGATTTCATAGTTCATGGGATCGAGCCCCTCATTGGGCTCTGTGCTGACAGTGCAGAGACTGCTTGGGATTCATTCTCTCTCTCTCTCTCTCTCTCTCTCTCTCTCTCTGTCTCCCCCCCCCCTTTGTCTGCCCTCCCCTGCTCATGCTCTCTCTCTCAAAATAAAGATTAAAAAAACAATAAAAACAACTATGCTAGCTCATCTTCTTTACGCTTTCAAGTTTATTACAGTGAGAATATATTTTATTATCGGGGGGAGAAAAACCATACCAAAAGACGATGAAACTAGGTTCATTATCTTCCTTCTAGATAGGACAATGACTTCTTAGCTATTCTTCTTTAATCTAAGCTCTCCATTCTTCAAATCACATTCATCGGAATAGGAGATGAATCTTTTCTTAAATACCCATATGTTTCTTATGTAAGTCTCTAGTTTTCTTTTGCTCAAACATGTCTAGTACTGTATTATCCCTATATATCAAGTCTCAGATTCTTCAGTTGGGTCTCACAAAATCTATCCAACCTTGCTTCCTGTGGCTTTATGAGGTAGTTAGCTCAGGGTCCTGTGAACATTAATTGGGCTATTCATTCTTCTGGGCTTGGTTCTTCTGTAAGAATGCAGTGGAATACCTTACCTTGTGCCTATTCAAACACCGTTCCAGCTTAGCTTCCACTCTCAGACTTGTTAGAATATTTTAGCTTTTGATGAGTTTTTATACTTAGTCCCGCAGTGCTGAGGATTCCACGTAACTGAATGTTTGATCTCCTAAGGTCTCCTATTTTGTGTGTGACAACCTCAACCTTAGGTTATCAGTTAAGCCTCTGAGCTACTGGATTTAAAGAACTCTGAATTCTTTTGTTGACTCCACCTTCTGCTGAGAACTAGCTTAGTAGTAAGGACTCCGGGCATTCACCAAATACTTGCTCACTAAAAGGAAGACAAACTTGAAAAATGCGAATAACACCTGTACTTGTTGCAGGTAGGTAGCAGTCAAGCCTTCAAGCCTTCTAATTTAGTTTTTCTGAATTTTCACAGCAAATTCCAGATTATCCTATATATTTCCATTTAAAAATAAATATTGCAAACACCATTGGGCAAGTAAGACATATGGCAACATAGAATGCTTTGGTAGCACTATGGCTGTGACTTAAATTACTGTGGATCAAACTGCCAGAAGCTGAGAAGATAACTGAATTTCCCTCTTCCTTTATCCTCTAGTGACTACAGAAGATAACTATATCATGCCTATCGATGAAAATATTTAACAATAAAAAACTGAAAACACTGCTTTATAACTTAAATAATATAGCCTTACTACCAAATGTTTTAGTCATAGGATCTCTTGGAAGCTTGAATGGAAGCAAACTTTAGGGTTTTAATTATGGATGAAGCCATACAATTCTGGAAGCAAAGTATAGCAAGCAGCCAAAAATGTTACACATATGATTTTACTCCAAATGGGCACATTGGCCAAATGGTGAGGCCCTGCGCAATCACATACTTTGACCACCTCCTCCATCACTATCAAGAGAGATCTGGGAAATCTGTTATCTGTTAGATATGAATTCTGTGTGTTGACTGTGGCCCCAATAGGGCAAAATCAAATTGTTCTCGTTTTTATGAGGATAGTTTTGAGTTGGATCTAAAAACATTATAGGTACTTCATGGGGTTTTAGAATCTCCCGATAAATAAAAGAAGATAGAGAGCTGTATCTTAAATTTATTACGTCTTGCACAAAGGTGACCTTTAAATTCCTTCCGTGGTCACTGATTTTTCTGGTTGATTAAAAACACTTAGCTTAAGCAAACTTCCATTTTTTTTTTCATTAAAAAAATGAGAATCCATATGCAACTTATCTAACATGGGTTTAAAAACTGGATGGTACTTCGTTAATTTTATTCAAAACAAATTATATACATCAAAATTATGAAATTCACTTAAAACCTTTTTTGCATAGGTGAGGGAAAATACCTAAAATCAATGAAACTTACCTTTAAAAGACTAAGGTTCCTTTTAAGAGCAGTTTGAGCTGCTTGTATCTGAGATGCCTTTTCCTTGTTTTCATCTAGACATTTATTCTCCATTTGTTGAAGTAACATTAATCTTTGTGATACTCTAGAAAAAAGGAAGATTATATAATTTTTTTTTTAAGGGAACATTTTAGCTTGTTCAATATGGAAGTACATTTCTTAATTACACCTCAATTCAAGTTCAACGTATTTTGAAAGCCAACTACTATGTCAATTATTAAGACAGTAGAAAACTAAGATAGTTCAGTAAGTCTTAAATATGGGTAAAATTATTTTCATTAACGTATCTACTGTAAGTACATGCTTTTTTTTTTTTTTTTTTTTTTTTTTTTTTTTTTTTTAGCCTCTATGGTCTTTGCAATTATTTTAGAGTGTTAAAACATGTTTTAATTTTTTGGTGAAAATGCAAACTGTAATACATATCCCTTTGTACACATACTTATATATACCTCCCCACACACATACATTGATATAACTTGCTATACGAAACCTTCTGCTTAACACTTCAATACCCCTGAATCTCATGTTACACATTTAGAATTGCGCTAAACTTCCATATGTTTGAAGAAGCAATAAAAATATTTTTTTCCTCTTTTTCCAAGAGAAAGATGATGGTTCCATATATGAGTGAGAGGCTGTGTGTATGTATGCATACTCACAACAAGGTGAAACAGTAATTGAAGAAAGATGTAAAAAGTTGTAAGTAAATTATCAAACTGCTTTGTTTTATATATTTTAAAAGTGTCTCATTGGTCAAATCATTTTACAAGTTTTTTGGCCCTCTTAAATGGTTAATTAAAAAAATGTCAGATGATAAAAAATACATGAGGGTAGAATTAAAATTGAGTAATTTGAACATTTTTTATAAGGAAAATACCTTAGAAAGCCAAGGAAGGGGGCCTGGTAATGAACTAAAGAAAATAAATTAATTAAAGAAAACATGAAAGCCCACAGAAAGAGGTGGAGATGGTTGATATCAATATAAGTACTGGACCTGTTATATAATTTGTAAGGCCTAATGCAAAATGAAAATATGGGGCTCCTTTAAAAAAAAAAAAAACTATTACACGTTTCAAGACAGCAACATTAGACCATTAAACCAAGCCTGCTATGGGTAAGAGGTTTAGAGAAGTCCATTAAATACCAGTGAGGAACCTAGAAAGGTGAGAAGGGTAAATTTATCTAGGTAATAGCAAAGCAAAGTAAAACCATAAATAACCCTTTTAATCTTTATTATTCTTAAGAGACAGTGACGTTCCCTAATACCAAATCTCTCAAGTGTTAGAAAATTTAAATGACACATTTTCAGATTTTTAAGTCTGTTCACACAATATTTCACTAAGAAAGCCAGCACAATGTATTCATTTAGATAAGCCTTTAAAAAAAAAAACCTTACATTTCTTCATGTCTTTTAGAAAGGCGAATTTCTTGAGCAAGCAACGAAGTCATCCTTAGTCAAAGCTGCCTTATAAGCTTTCTGCTAAATAATAAAAACATGTACAGTTACTTCTACTACATATCCTCAGCTTTTCAAGAGTTGATGGTTTTATTACCTCAACCCATTGATTCTCTCAGAATTGAAAAATAAAAATTGAGATGTAATGCATAAAATGAGAGAATGCACTTAAAACCATTTTTATTTACGATGCGCAGCTTTTCATATGCCAGGTGCATCCCCAAACACCATGAATCAGGTAAACTAAACATTTCACATTTCTTCCTCTTATTTCCTCACACTTTAACCTTAATCTGAATTGAAAACAAACAAGCAGCTGGTACTAAGACTAGTAAACATTTTACTGAATCAACAGAAAGAAAAAACACTCTGTAAAATTCAACACAGGAACACCACCTCTCATGCATGTGCATACACACATAGAAAGGCAAACAAGTATGAGAACCAACTGGAAACTCATGGTCTTTCTTTTATTGGAAGACTGCCCAGTTCTACCATCTCTTTTCCAAATAAGAAAGTATTTTTCATGTGTAACTGCGGTGGAAAAGCACAATTGTTCCCTTCACTGTACCCTGCGTGCTCAGGAGTCCTGTTTGGGGAGTTTGGGAAAGCCCATTTTAATGGCACATGAGCAAGCTCACCTTGACTGAAGAGCCTGGATCAATACTGATAAAAGATCAAGTGCAGTACTTTGAAGGCTGGGAGCCTGAAGGCAAATCATCTGGCTGGGTGCAAAAGCCAAAGGTGACTGTCCTAAGGGAGAAAAAAAAAACAGGAATGAAATTCTTTCCTCGGGCGAAGCACTGGCTTTCCTAAATTTTATGAATTAAATACTGTCGCTAATCTCGGAGTGTCCAGCGCTGACAGACTGAGCTCTTCCTTCTGTGTACATGCATGGAGGTGTAGGGCCCTGAGCCCAGCCAAGGAAACACTGCCCTGCCCTCATCGGGTTTCCTTCTAAAGGAACCGCTGTGTTTTGCTCAGCACCGCGGACAGCAACCTCTCCAGGCCCGCCCGCAAGGATCTAGTTACAGATACTTCCTCTAAGATCACTGCAGGCCACTCCTCGCCGCATTCCTCCCACTTTCCATTGCAGCGTCAAGGAAATCCCGGAAAGTTAGTCCATGGTAACTTCTCTTCCGTAAGCCCGCCATCAGCACTCCAGGCAAACCCCAAAATAAATACTGCCTTTCGAACCGAAGATCCCCATGGTCTGAGAGTCCTCAATCCTCCGACCACTCCAACTCCTGCTCAGGACTCAACGACCTTTCCTCATCACCCCAGCCCTTCCCCGTTAACAACATTCTCCCCCCACCCGCCGGCCCTGCGGACACCTGCGCCGTTCTCGGACAGTCAGGGCCCCCACCCGCGGCCCGTAACGCCGTGGGACTCCACTCAGCCGCGCTTAGACCTTTTCGGTAAAGGCGTCCGCTACAGTGCGGACGCTGGGTCCCAGCACAGGCCTGGGCGTGGTCACGCCGCCATCATTGCGCACGCGCAACGAGGTGGCGTAATCACGTTGCTATAAAAGGCGGACCTCTGGCGCGGGAGTTTTCCCAAAGCGGTAGCTGCGAGCCTTGCGAAAGCGTTTGGCGGTAGCTCAATTTCAAGGCCTTTTAAAATGAGACCTGTATCCGTTCAAAAGGCTTCAGAGAGGGAAGCTAGAAAGTCACGGAGTATGAAAATGGGGAAGCCCCCTTCAAGGTACTCCAAAGGGATTGAATGGTCTTTACAGTGAGTAAAAGCACTTTAATTCAAGGAGCTTCACCCTGGTGTTCCGTTGCTGAGCGGGGGAGCGGAGCCCCTGTTCGCACCCACTAGGGAAAGTAACATTAATCGGTGACGTTTTGAGGGGTCTGCATGCGGGTCGCGGTGTTATGTGGATTATCTCGGCCCTTTCCCACAATGCTGGGTTGGGTAGGTCCCACTGTCCTCATTTAACAGAGGAGCAGACAAGCTCGGCCGTTTATTTAGGTTGTGGTTTGAAGCCCGCAGAGGTTTAATGAAATTTCCCACGGCCCTCAGGACCCCGCACTTAGAAATAATCCTTTTGTGCTGTGAAGCGCATTCTTAAACCTTTTTTTCCCCTTTGAAATAAGTTGGTGAGACACGAGGTACTATTCCTTAGTTTCAGAGGTAGAAACTGAGGTTCAAGAGAGGTAAAGTTGTTTTCTTCCTAAAGTTACTGAGTTGGTCCAGGGCGAAGTGCCAGACTCTAGTCCCGGTGTCTCGTATTTTTTTCTTCCCAGAATATCTCCATGAAACTCCGCTGATGCTTCAGGACTGTGGCGCTTTATGGTTCCTTTGCTTGGAAAACCCATTCCTTAGAAACTCACGTAGACTCAGTTCGTATCTTTCAATGCTGCCTCCTCAAGGAAGCATTCCCCTGGACCTCCAATATAAGAGAGGAGTTCCATTTCTTCTTTGTCCTCCTCCTGTATTTCTCTCCAGAACACAACACTGTACCACTGTTCTTCACCCTAAGAACAGGTATTTTCGATTCTTATTTGCTGCTGTATCCTCAGCAGCTAAAATGGCTTGAAATAATCTGGGATTGAATTTGCATCATAATTTAAGAGAGCTCTGTCTTCAGTTGATAGGACCTTCGATTTAGCTGTCCCATAGCCTTCCTTAGTAAACATGAAAAATAAACCTTTGAATGGCCCATTTGTTCTAGGAATGAAATAGAGCTTTTGCATGGGTACAAGGCATTCTTACCTTTTATGTAAATATACAAGTAAGAATTTTTTTTTTTAATTGGCAATGGGTTGCATGAACCTTGAGGCTGCACATGAAAGCATTTGTATGTTGTTTAAAACAAACTTTGTTCGCCTCTCCTGCTTTATGCATGGTTTGCATAGTGACATAATTGGGACAGACCCAGCTCTTTTGACTTGGAATCTCGCTTCTTTAGGTCATCGTCTTCCCTAGGAGTGAATCAAGGAATACCTTAGAATTGTCTTGCAATTTTTAGGGGGACAGTAATCAGGAATACCTCACAGACACTTAAAAGTTATCTAGAGAGACGGATTATTTTGTAGCATCCTGTAAAAGCACTTGCTCTACTCAAAGATCTGCTGTGATAGCTCCGCTCTTCATGACAGCCCCCAGTTGATCTTTTCTGTGAGACACTTGGCTGGGGAAAAAGTATCTGTGGCAATTGCACAGTTTGTCTCTACACAGCTTCTCTATTAGGTAGGTTTGGGTACTTCTTGGAGTGAGATATTCTTGGTCTACCACACAGATTATGGGAACCTTGTAAGTGATGCCTGGCTCATAATGGGGCATTCTGTAAATGTGCAGTGAAGTTAGTATTTCCTAACCCTGGTATAGTTCTGCCCACCACTGTGCTAAAATTGTTCCTTAGCCTCATCATTTAGAAAGCCCTGTGCTCTTTAGCCATAAATTCTATAAAGATGCATTTATTAAATATCTCTCAGATATAGTTTCTGCCCTCAAAAGCCTACAGGGCTCTTAAAGTATATACAGAAAGCTAGAGGATTTTGGCTGACAACATAATAATGACTCCTTTTCATTGACTGTTCATTCTGTACTAGGCGCTGTGTGTGATTTACCTCATCTAATCCTCGTAACAGCCCTGTGAGCAAGACAGGGTTGCTTGACTTACTATCCCCATTCTTATAGCTGAGAAAACTGAGGTTTAGAGACCTGATTTATGACCATATTGTAAGTAAATGAGTCCCAGCTTGATGTTAGTATTGTAAGTAATTGTGTACAGTATGTCAATAATGTGTCACTAAAACGTATCCTGCAGATTGTGAGGGTGCTAGAGAAGAAAGAGCACCAAGAGCAGGAATAGTCTAGGTAACATTTAAAAAGTCCATATATTTATGAGAGAGAGAGTGTGAGCAAGAGAGGGTCAGAGAGAGAGGGAGACAGAAGATCTGAAGTGGGCTCTGTGCTGAGAGCAGCAAGCCAGATGGGGGGCTCGAACTCATGAACCGTGATATGTTGACCTGAGCTGAAGCTGGACGCTCAACCACCTGAGCCACCCAGGCACCCCTAGATAACACTTTGGAAGGCTAAGTTGAGTTTTGCAAACTGGGTGGAATTTGGAGGTCTGCTTTTGTAATTGGGGGTATCAGGTGGCAAGATGGGGTGTGAACTCTTGTAAGTGAAGGAGCCCTTATGGAAGTGTGTGCATGAGAATATGTCTGGGGTGAGGAGCCGTGGAAAGGAAGCATTGAGAAGAATGTTTTCTCCTCATTTCCCCCAGTTTTGAAGATTTCATATCTGGTGTCAGAGACTTAGAAAATAGAGGTTTGACAGTAACAAAGAGAAGGAAGGATTGGAAAAGGTGAGACTGATAAGTAAAGAATAGAAGTAGGAGACTTGATGGAAAAGAAAGGACAAGCTTTGGAGACTAAGAAATAATTAAAAGAATCCCAGAAACCTTGACAGTTTCAGACTTGAAATTACAGTAACTTATAGTTTATACAGAGGTTTGCAGTTATGGTTTACACAGAGGCCATCTTTTTTAGACATCCTTTGGGTGTACTTTGGGTAGACAAGTAATAAGAAAATGAAGCACTCATGCCTGAAATGGAGTTAGTGGTTTTTTTCTTTCTCCCTTGTTTCAGGAAATCCCAGATGAAATTTGGTGCAGTGGGTCCAATTGCTTGTCTTTCTGCTTTTCTTCACTCTGAAATATAATCATTGGACTTTTATCTTTTTCCAGAGTTGTAGATGGTCCATTTCACTATGGAAAAATACTCTATGCTCAGAATATCTCTGAAATGCCTTAAATTGGTCCTGGATGGGTTTTGACCAAAGAGAATTTACAACCAGATACTTCTTTAGGATCTTTTGTCAACGAATCAGCTATCAATCTAGGTCTAATCAGATAAAACTGTGCAATAGAGAAGTCATTATCACAGCTGGTGCCTGCATTGTAGACGTTCTTGGCTGAGAGAATAAGACTGTGCTGATAAAACTATGCTCATTCCTAGAGATTTCCAGTGAGAATTTGCAT